CATTAAGTTAGGTACTATCACTGTATGTTTAAGGATTGAATTTCACTCGCCCCTCAATTGTAGCCACCAATCAGTTAGCCTCCTCCTAGTTTTTTCAACCCGTTTAAAGTCTATTTTGCATTCACTGTCCCTAAACACCAATGCTCTGAAAAACTTGGCGCCATTATCTTCGGCATAGGGTGGAGCCCTTTATAGAGCAATATCAAATGTTCAGCCATTTCCTTCTCCTCTCCACATGCACTACATACCGTGTCTGTGCCTTCGTGTTTTGCTCGGTACATCTTGGTCCGCAATACTCCCGTTCTAGCTTTGTAGAGCAGAGGACTGCCCCGAAAATTATCGCAGATCTTTTCCTATGCAATTTTCTGCTTAAAAGATTGTTACGTCCCCAGTGATGATTTAGTAAGCATTCCCATCTTCCACATGCCCCTCTCTGTTTCCTTCACCGTCTTCTTGACCGATGTTTCATTTTGGCTTGGTATTCTGCTGTTGTCTAAATACTTGCTTGACAGTTTGTGAGTTTGTTTCCTCTATTTAGTATCGACGTTCTTCATGAACAAGTAGTTAAAAACATTTTTAGCTCAACGCTCCTCTCCCATTTTTCTCAATCGCTCCTCAAGTTCTATCTTGCTGCTAGCTTCCCTGCAATCAAACGATGTCCATCCTATGTCTCCCTGTATCCCCTGATTTGGGGTATTCCCGTGTGCTCCCAAACCAAATCTACCTATGCCTTGTTCAATTTTCAATCTTGATTGAACTTCTCATTTCATGCTCAAGACCACAATGCCAAACTTAAAACCCGGGACCATGACACCTTTCCAAATCCATCTCACAACGTCATACCTATTGTAGTTCCACAGTGCCCTATTTTTTATTACAGCTGCATTTCTGGTGCCCTTAATCATTGCGTATCTTTCTTGCTCCCTTAGATACTCAGCCCCGTTATTTAACCATACGCCCAAGTATTTGTATTTATTCACGATTTCTAGCGTGACTTTCTGTATTTTATGCTCACTGTCTTTGTTATCATTAAAATGATGATTGCCGATGTTTCACTGCTGAACTTCAAATTTGACCTATCTCCCTCATTACCACAGATGTCTATCAAGTTCTGCAGATCTTCCTTATTGTCAGCGATTATTACGATATCCTCTCCATACATCAACGCTGGTAATGACTGTTCAATGCGTTTTCCTTGCTTGGCAAATGAGAGGCGGAACTTGAGTCGACTCCCCTCTAGTTTAGCTTCTGGTCCCTCGAGATACAGCATAAACAAGAAAGGTCACAAGAGACATCCCTGTCGAAGCCCGCGTTGTATCTCTATAGGTTCAGATACCCGTTTCCCATTTGATAACTACCTTGTTACATTTATTGATATCCTTCAGTAGATTAGTTATTCCATATTTCTCATCTAGTGTGTCCAGTATTCGCCACAACTCTTTTTAAATCACACTATCGTAAGCCCCAATAATATCTACAAATGCCAGCCACAGGGGCCTGTGTTCTTTTTCCGCTATTTCAACACACTGCATCAATAAAAACAGTTTGTCCTTCAATCTCCTTCGTTTACGGAACCCAATTTGTAGTTCTTCCAGCACCCCCTCATTCTCCATCTATGTCTGTATTCTTTCCTTTACTATCTGCATCACCAGCCTGTAAACTACTGATGTCACTGTAATACGACGGTAGTTGTTTATATCTTCTTTGTCACACTTTCCTTTATAGATCATGCTCATCCTGCTTAGTTTCCACCCATTGGGAGCTTCACCATACATTATTACTTTGCTCACTGCCTCTCTTAATGTTTACTTTGCGTTTGGTCCTAGTTTCATTATTAGCATGATTGGGATGCCGTCAAGGCCTGTTGATGTGCTATTAGAAACTCTTTTTTCTGCCATTTCCCGCTATCGTTGTCCCGGTGGAGCCACTGAGCTAATTGGTCCATCCTCATCTGGTATGGTGCATGCAGCACTTTCTTGGTGTTTACAATTTTCTGTCATCATTGTTTTTCTATACTCTATAACCTCAGCCCCTTCTAGTCTTACCTCTTCAACTGTAGTTATATATCTTTTTCTGATGCTTGTCTTATTACTCAGAAAATTGAGATTCTTCAAAAACTTTGCAGCGGCCTTTCTACACTTTTTGTTCACTTCCACCATCTAAGGGGCCCCCTTTTTTTTAATATTTTCAGTGATCAAATCAGACGCTTCCCTTCTGCATCTCAAAAAGTTGTCCCATTTCTTTTTGACATCATCTTCCGGTTTACCCCTCTGTTTAGCATAGCTGTGTTCCCTGGAGGCTTCCTGACTTCTTACTATGGCTCCCTTAAGTTCCTCAGCCCACCAGCTCTTGGGTTTGTGCCTGCTTTCCCCGGTTGATTTGACTCGTTGTGTCTGCTCTTCCCGGTTGATAGGCAGAGAAACTCGTATATTTACCAGCCAATAGAGTTCGTTACCAATGTATTCCACAAGTTGTCTTTTAGCAAGCACTCTGCTTGGGGTAGCTGTATCCACAACCGGCATTGCCGCAACTTTCACAGATAGTGGCGTCACGATGCGGCATCCGTCGTAACTGTCGTTTAGGGGATGCCCACGCAGCCAGTCCATGCCATCGTTCAGTAGGCCTCAGTTTGGTGGTTAGCTGGTGCTTTATATTCTGTCGCTGGCAATTTCTACTACGGTTATTCAGAATTTAGTAGTGAACTACCGAAGTCGGACAGGTACTGGGAGTCGTAGTAGCAATGATTTACTCTTCGTTATTTGCTTGCTAAGCTAGAAAAATCACAAAATATGTTGGATGCTGCTTTGAAGACGTCATGCAGTCAAATGAGGGATTTCTTGCTTTTCACGAGCACGGCTGCTCAATTTTCCCCGGACGTGGCACGAGCATCCTTCACAAAGCTGTACATGCATTCTCTCACATCGCAGCAGACAATGTGACCGGCGTTCAAAACTTCTTTTCCTTCAATAGGCGCTGCACACGCGTTTCTCAACACGCAGTGTAGGATGTAATACATGCTACAGTCAATGAATTTCTTTGCAAAGCATTGACAACACGGTGGCTGCAGCCAAATATATATCCTATAGTGGTGCCGGAAATGTTGCGTAGCTTGAAGTGAAGGGCACACTGGCTGCGGCTGTCAGCAGAGTCAGACTTGACAGCCATTTTTTCATGTTCCACGACTATAGCACTTATATTGGTTTGCGGCGAGCCGATCGAGCGGCAGACGCCGCAAAATGTCGGTTTCATGGTGATCGGTGCGCAAGGGGCCTTGTCGACAAAAGTGGCCGCACCGAATCGGATTATGAGCGCTTTCGACGGTCAGAGTACTTTGTCTGAATGAGCGTTTAGAGTGCCGAACGCGCGCCTTTCGCGCCATTTTGCTACTGATGATGAAAAAATGCTGAAGTTGCTGAGTGCTACAAGTAGTATACATTCGACGTCGGGCCACGGAACGTTTTTTTTTTCTTTGTAATTTTAGTTAACCTTTTAGAGCATCATATCCGTGGCGGAAACACGTCAAAGGAGCCTGGTGGGCCCTTGCATAAAATATTTTTATGTTAAAAATTGGTGGGGCATGTCATAAGTTTGCATAACACGCAGCGTCAAATAGGAGCCTTCTATTTATATCCCGCAAGGAATGGTCAGGAGTGCCACAGTCATACGATCTCAACAACTTGTCACTAAGTGGTGCGATCTGCAGGCCTATTCACCCTATTTCTAGCCGTGTTTCCTCACGTACAAGCAATACATGTTTGCATGCATATGCCGTAAAAAACTGCAACCAAAGCTTTACAACCACCCTTTGAATATGAAGAAACATGGGTCAGCCTCGCTGCAATAGGAAAGTCTTGCGGTGAAGCTTAACAAAAGTGGGAAAAGGCTGCTGTCGCAAGACTTGGTGTGACTCCGAAGAAATTGTTGTACTGCTAATTTCAAACAGGAGTCTGTGAACCCCGTTGCGTGTGCAGACTCCCGTTTGAGAAACATTGATTTAATAAGGTCATAGTGATTTAATTTGTCAATACGCCACATGTGCACACTTATGTAAACAGAGGCTGCATGCCCCGCCGCGGTGGTGTAGCGGCTAAGGTCGCGGGATGAGATCCCGGCTGCGGCGGCTGCATTTCTGAGGGAGGTGGAAATGTTGTAGGCCCATGTGCTCAGATTTCGGTGCATGTTAAAGAACCCCAGGTGGTCGAAATTTCCGGAGCCCTACACTACGGCCTCTCTCATAATCATATGGTGGTTTTGGAACGTTAAACTCCACATATCGATCGATCAATCAATCAATCAATCAATCAATCAATGAATCAATTAATCAAAGGCTGCATTACCGACGTTACCCACCGCGTCAGCAGCCTAGACAGCGGCATTTCATCTCGACTGCCATCATTCACAGCCTCGGCAAAAAAGAGCCTTCGTTTGCATTAGGTGATCTTTTTAAGGTTGGACTTGGGTCTCGCGGATGGCTTTTTCGCTATGCACTGTGCTACAGTTTCGCGGGAAGGGGTGAACCATGATGCAAGTTGTCTACATTTTCACTTTAGCTCTGCTGTCTCCTGGCTTCATTTTTAACTTGACATTGTCGAAAGAGCTCCCCGGAAAAGGCGTTAGTGTCAGAAGAGAATCTAACACTTGGGAACACAAGGTCAAAGTTATTTTGTTACTTGGGAAGCTTTCTTTCTGAAAAACCCGTATGAACTTGCCTCTAACGTATATCGTACAAAAGGCTGATGACATTTTAGAACAAGACAAATGTTTAGCTATTTGGTACATAATCATTTTAAAAGTTAGTAGGTACTTGTTGCGTCCAGACTTTCTTCTTCTTCTGCTGGTCTTTGCTTGCTCTGTCTCCCGAAAGGTAACAATTTTTTTTTACTTTGATGTAAATACACTGTCTCAGACATTGTGACCCTGCGTCGAACTGCCCAGGGGAGTTTTTCGATCCGAGATGCTATTGGCTAGTGTCAGAGGGACTTTTACGTCTCTTAACGCAGAACCCACCGTACACCATGCTCAAAAAGGATGCCCATCTGCGCACCGGCAACGATCGCTTCGAGGGTTACGCAGTGGACCTCATGGATGCACTGGCACGAAAGATCGGCTTCCAGTACGAAATGCACCTCGTAAAAGACAACGCTTACGGCAGCAACGCCTCGGGAGAGTGGAATGGCATGATACGTGAAATCATTGACAGAGTGAGTATTGTCTTTAATTGTTTATTTATTCATTTACTATGCCCTCGAGGCCAAATTGTATTGCATAGAAAGTTGGATTGCCAAAACAAAAATCACAGCATATCCACGAAGTGAATGATGGCGAGAGGGCGAAGCTCCGGGGGTTTATAACCTTCGCACATCACCCACTTGATGATGGAAAGACGTAACAACACCTGTGTACAGTATTACAAAGGTTTTATCAATCAGAATACGAATATGGTATTCAGATGTGGGCGGAGTTTTCCTTTCATTATAACTGCCCTATACTCAGTAAAATGTAAACCTCAAGGTTCTGGTATGTAATCTGACCTGCAATTTGAGAACCTGATATTCCCGGGCTGCTGCAGTTTCGCGAGCCCTCAGCTCCGATTTGGCTTGCCAACGCTGCCTTTCGCTGCAGCTTCGCGAGTCCACAAGTCTGAATGCACTTGTCTGTGCTACCGTGCTGCAGCCGCTCTGTGATCCCGATACTCTGGAATGCGTTGCTGCAAAGCCGCGCTGCAAGCCGTCATGTCTTCATTCATAATGAAGTGCACTCCATGACTATAAGAGAGAGAGAGCCGGCAGCAAGCGCGCTTCATAGCTCTTGGGTTGCCGCTGATGCTGATGCTGATGCTAATTACTTCAAATAGATGGCGCTCACCCACAGAAGGGACGAGCCAAGAACCGGACGTCAAAATAATAGATGAAACTAAAACGAAGTGATTGCCAATCTGAAAAAATTAGTTTAGAAATAATACTGCCAATAAACAGAAATGTTTGCTGAGCAAGTGGTCAAACTATCTCTTGTTCTTGACAGACATCACTAAAAATTATGAACTAAACATCTGAAAAGGTTAGGGTTCACTAGCACGGTAATCTTTTAGTTGCATTGATGTAGTCAAACACAGCGGAGCATATATCCCTGTGTCAGTAACGAAACAATGTGGTGCCAAGTGATCAAAGTACTGCTACAAATTCTTTTTCTCTGATAAAAGTAATGACTACAGAATAAAAAGAAATGTTCAATTGTTTCAATTTTGTTGCAAACAATGCAAAGCAGTGACGCCAGAAACGAGCTTTGTTAACGCCCCACCGAAAGAAACAGAGTGCCATGAGCGCACCCACGATAAACGTTCTCCTCTTCTACCAAAGACAGGTGCACTCAGGGCCGGCGCCCCCAGCATGTGCAAGCCAGGACAACGGACATTAGAGGGACAAGGCTCGATCCTAAGGTGCTTCGACTCTAAAACAAAGGGGGGATAAGAGGAGTTGACATACGTCTTGTGGATTCTCTCTCTCTCTCTCTTATCTGCACAAGTACTTAAAGTGAATGTTCCGGTTACACTCTTGCCTCATAAAATGTGGGCAATGCACTTCAACGTGCTCCCCCAATTTTCGCTTTAATCTCACAAAGTTTATTCGTGACTTCGTTGGCCCACAGAATTTTTTCATCTTGAAGAGCGTTGCGTGAAATACAACGAAAATGACAAAGATGCAACACAGACCACGCTCACTCTCACACAAGTCTTGAAAGACTCATTCATAGACGTTAAACGTGATCAGGTAAATTTATACACAAGAAAAATTGATTACTAAGAAAAAGGGAAAACACAAAGGGGTGCCACAATCAGTTTATTTTTTTTTTGAGCAACTGTATCTCCTTGTCGAACAAGAGGGCAGATTATAGATGCATTTCAAGCTGTAATATGTTTATTGGAGAAGCCTCTAGCATCACTTTTTTGTTCCGGTCACTGTGTCTAACTAATATTACCATGACATTAATCATTGGCTTGCACTGATGCCTTATCATGGTGCTACCAAATATGATAACACATTGTTTTAATGAATAGTAATATGTGGCGCGTAAATGTCGCAATCATGAATGCTTCTACGTTCAATCCAAATAGCAATGGCTAGGAATGCTGCCTATGGTCTCGCACGACTGGTTGGAGTATTGGGGCAGTGGGAAAATTGTGTGGTCGCTGCCTATTGAAGAATCTCGAGACATGTGTTCGGTGGTGTAGCATGATTCGCTTGAAGCGACAGGCTCTATCCGAGACCCCAAGCGCTCCTGCGTTGCAATAACGACGTAAAAGCCCTGCTCCGCTTGTTGCGAATGACTGGTCTACACGAACGCTTGCCACCTTAGTGACCGTTACCGCCCCAGTGCTTTGACATTCAAGAATTGCTTATCGCCTATTTTTCATTTCTGATAATTATTTTTTTGTTTTTTCACTGCGTTAACTGAGGTATGTTTAGCACACTGATTGGTTTTATGAAAACCTGCCCGTAGCCACTGTAATTTTGTGGGGTTGAAAAACAAAACAAATGGAAAGTGTACATCACAATGAAATACATGCGACATGATACCTGAAAAATGCTAACAAAACAAGTTGAAAGATATACTGTAGTGTAGATCGAAGAGTGCTTCCCAGCGAAAAATCGGAAGATATGAAAATTGATATTCTCAGGATTGCAGGCAGTATTGTTGCTAATATCGCTGGGCATTTGAAAAACTTTATGTGATAACCGTGACCTATAGGGTGCCTGTTTGAATAACAGGCTATATTTATGCAAAAACAAAAACACAGCATTTGTGTCGAGGGGACAGGCTTCAAAAGTAACGCAATATAGAGAAGTGTAGACTCCTAATCGGGTCCCAGTCGTGTTTCTCAAGACAAAATAAATTTATTTTCCTTCCTTCCTTCCTTCCTTCCTTCCTTCCTTCCTTCCTTCCTTCCTTCCTTCCTTCCTTCCTTCCTTCCTTCCTTCCATCCTTCTTTCTTTCCTTCCTTCCTTCCTTCCTTTCTTCCTTCCTTCCTTCCTTCCTTCCTTCCTTCCTTCCTTCCTTCCTTCCTTCCTTCCTTCCTTCCTTCCTTCCTTTCTTCCTTCCTTCCTTCCTTCCTTCCTTCCTTCCTTCCTTTCTTCCTTCTTTGCTTCCTGTTGTTCTTCTTTATCAGATGCGGATAAAAGTGCTGGATAAACCGAGGAAACCGGACATTTTTGATTTGGTGTCCTGGATATAAGCAGAATTGAACCAGGACCTGATTAAGAGTAAAATAGGTGTCAACGCCAGCTTGAAGTTTTCGTATGAGCTTAGTGTTACCTTACGTATTACCTACTTAAGCCTACTACCATCACCACAGTCACAGCCGCTGCTGTGACCATTACCATTGTCAGCATGGTCATCAGTATTTTTTGAGAAATTGTAGCACATCTAGAAAATCATAACAGTGAAATAAAAGATATATTAGTTACTTCTGGCCTGGTAAAGGTTTTTATAATCGAAGTACGACTATACACTTTAAAGCCCATGACGTCGCACTCATATCAACTGAAATTAGTTGTGACTGTTCGCTGTGGCATCAGAATAAAGAGCAGTAAACTACTTTATTTATTACTGCCCATTTATTTACTGTTACACGATACGCATACAAAAGGAATTGTCTAGGCTAGAACGAACAATTACTGTATCAATTAGAAATTACTGCCCTTAATAAAAACAGCTTCGATGAAAGGAAGATCTTCAAATATAACAATGCGCAAAAGTAAATTCAGCAGAAAAATGAATGAAACAAGGGCAGTAATTTGAAGACAAGTTCATTTGTTGCGTTTCTTTCAATATCTCGGCATTGGCCATTAGTGTACCAGTAATATAAAAGCAAACTAGCACAAGTACAGAAATATAGTTTTTGTTTGCTGCTATGAGTATTGATTGAGCCGCGTAGGTTCGCGCAAACACAAATTGAATGAACGTTGCGATTGTGAACGGCTGTTTCCTAACCGTAAATAGTGTGTCATAGAAACATCCCAGCGTTCGGTGATCGAAAAGAACGAACGCACTTCCAGCTCAAAGCAGGCAAGGTGTGGGTAATTCGGTGCATCGAGACGCACACTGCGTAAACAACTGTGAAACCCACCAGCAAAATTGCTTTTAATAAAGGCGTTTCAATAGCTCTGCGGAACTTTTGTGATAAGAATTTCGTTCCTATCTCTTCCCCTCAAGAGTCTGTTTTTCTACTTGAAGAAAGGGCCCCGAGTATACAAAGAGAGCAGACCTCTACGCGGGTGGAGAGTATTGATTTTTATTTTCGGTCATATCGTTTTTTTTTCTAGCATACACAGAGAACGCTGTTTGGCGTGAACGAACAAGCATAGAAGGTAGCTTGTACACTGGCTTAATAATGAACCTCTACTGCCTCGTGCAGCCTAATTTCTACAGCTTCACACCATAAGCAATCTTCGTGCTTACAGTGTGCGATCAATGGTGCGTATGCTCTTCTTATGTTGTAAAGTTCTTTCTGCCTTTGCCCCTTCAGGTCTGGCGCGTAGTAAGATGAAAGTGACAACAGAAGCTTTCGTGGTATTTAGGTGCCCATAGACCCTTGACGAAGAACGTGCGTAGAGCTCCCCGCCCGACGCCAGCAAAACAAGGCGGTCCCCGGGGCGCCAGCCGTCGCGGCAGTACCCACATAGTTAACGCCGTTCTATTCCTAAGGCTCACAAAGGAGATGGCCCGGAGAGGCTACTCTGCTCGAGTGTGGCGCCGTGCGCTTTCTTATATCTTAAGCAGCTAAGTAACGAACGCACACCACCGTCACTGGCCACAATATTCATGGCTTGTGTTGCTTTAGTTCACATGGTACAGAATGTCTCGATATATATATATATATTAAGAGAAATCAGACGCCTGAGCCCAGATGCTCAGTTCTCCTCTTCGCCTTCGGTCATCACACTCGGCCGCACTACTTCTGTGCGTATTATAAAAAACGACACAGGAACGCGGCTTAGTAGTTCTGCTGAAACTATGTTTTCCTAAAACGAGACACGTGCACAGAAAAGTTGTTTTTCTTGCGTTTCTCCACATTGAGTTGACTTTCCGGATATCCTACACGCCACGTGTTTTCACCCAGGCTTTCAGTGATGACGGAATGTCTTTCTTACTTCGGGTGAAGCTGTTTTCTAGGTTACTGTTTGCATCGTTGGACCCACACCTC